GGGTCACCATTCCAGATTTCCAACTTTTTTTAACATATTTTGACTGAATGCGTTAAGTTAACCAAAAATAGTATCTACTAATATTCCTCACGTTCATTGTTTTCTTACGTTATCGATGTCGAATTCGAATGATACTTCGGTATACTCAGAGACATATAAAGTATATACGTCTCTAATATTCTCTATTTCTTTTTCTATACCTCAGCGGATTTAATCATTGTTATCTTATTATGCTTTTAGAAATTTATAACCTGATCAGAAAAAAACCCCATATTTCTTTCGAGTAATATATTAATTTATAAAGAAAGTTCAGGTGTTGTATAAATGCAATCTTGGCTTTTACGGGCCATTGAGATCACAGGTACGAAAGCCTATCATGATTCACTGACCTTATTAAATTATCAATTAGTGTATATTACTGACTAACTCTTCAATACATTTTGTCGTGTTCTATTGGCAATTCTTAGATACTTTGCCAAATTAGCTATTTCCTTTTTATTTTTGTTTTCTGTTGAAAACAACTTAATCAATTTGTGCATACTAATGTTTCGGATATAGTAAGGATTGCTAAAGGACGTGCGTAAATCGACAAAAAATGACATTTTAAAACTTCTATATCATTTCAGACACACACAAAAACACAAAACTCTATTTCTGTTTTCTTACCCTGGTATTTACCAGTTTCTATACCTATTACAAGACTCGAGCGACTTGCCAAGAATAGAAACGTCAATCCAGCCAAGCTTTTTACTTGACAATAAAGCAACATACAAAATATATTTTGTCAACTACAGTATAGCCTGTCTAAACTGGTCCCTGTCTAATACGGATCCCTGTCTAATCCGGCTTTAATTAGTGTTCCCGGCATATTCCCCTTATAAACCGGACCCTGTTCATTCCGAAAACCGGCGTTCCATGTAAAAACATCCTGTTTTTTCCGGTCCTTAAATTTCTCTCGGCCGGCTATAATCTAAAGCAAACACATTCTAAACAAAAAAGAGCTATCTAATGTCGGGTCGGTCTTCATTTATTATATAATTATAATAAACTGTATATTTTGTAAATAATTAAACGTTGTTATTGATTCATTTTTCCGTTGTTTATACTGACACACTTGTAAACAGATCGTATGCAAAACACTACATTTTTGTATTTTCAAAAAATGTCATGCCGACCGTGTATAAACCGGACACCTGTGTAAAACGGCCAGAAAGTTTGGTTCCGGTGACATCCGGTTTAGACAGGTTATACTGTATTTCTAAACGATGCATGAACACTGACCAATGCCATTTTCAAAATAAGCTGTCGACATTTATATATGCACATAATATCGTTAAAGAAATCATTCTATTTCAAAATATCATCCTTCTTTATATTATAATATAATGTTGATCCGCGATTTTTTGACAAAAATCAAATACTGAAATGACCAAAGGGCAATATTTTTTGGAAAAATTGTCGAATGAAAATTCTTTTAAGGGAGACACAACTTCATATCATGATTATAATGTATACCAAGTCTCAAAGGGATTGGTCGAAAATTGTAGGAGGAGATTGCCGGACAAACAAAAGTTTACGCGGACAACGCCATAACATAATACTCCCGTCAAATTTGACGGGCGTATAAAAAGTGATAGACTTTAAATATTTTACCAGAATTTGCAATATATATATTTGAATATAGTCAGTCAGCATATCCTGGCAGGATTAAGATTAATGAAAGAATTGTAAAACATTCAACTTTTCAATATTTGAAGAAACTGATCAACCTTGTCTGGCCTTCAGCTTTTATGAAATTTTTCTTGTCCATGGACTTTAAAACAAATCTGATGTGTTGATTACATGTTAATAATAGAGAATATTTCCCTACCTCGAGGGTGAGACACAGAAATCTCCAACAAAATAGGTGATTTTTTAGTTGTCAAACCGTTAGTAAGACAACCAAATAATCGCACCGAGGCTCAGACAATCAAATATACATGTATAAACTGTAAAAAAAAAAAAAAAAAAAATTATCATAAGGACTGATTGTCTAAGAACAACCATGATCTCATAGATATGCATAATCTTTCCAGATATTCTGAGAAAATATTCTTTTAAAGCAATTACTTCATTTCTATAATTATAATTTTTAAGTAATACCAGCCTTGGCAATATTGCTCAAAAGGCTTACATGTCATAATTCTTTGAGATCATCGGGATATTTTATAAGTTATTATTATTTACCCCTTTACCTATAAAGGGATGGTTTGCTAGCAAAATAATCAGATCAACATTTGAAAAAAAATCAATTGATCTGATACAGTTCTAATTAATAACACACACACACACATCTTATTATTGTTATTGTAATAAGAAGAATACCAAAATAAGCAGTCAAGTTTCAATCCAAGAATGATTTGACCAATACTTTTGAAAGAGATATCATGTGTTATAGTAAAAGTTACCGAAGGAATTGCCGGCACTCAACAAGATAATGAAACTTGCTAATGTCGGCTTAATAGTGTGAATCAATGTGTTTCATAAAAACATATGGTACACAGAATTTTCACAACTCCTTAACATATTTTGCTTCTTTATCTCAATAGAGATAGTTTATTAATTTTGAACTTTTAAATAGAAAAACTATTATCAGCTCATTAACTTTTAAAACTCTTATCAGCTCATCAATAACTAACTGCAGTTAGATAAACATGATAAACAATGTGGAACCTCTTTATTTGAATAGACAATTGACATAATTTTGTAGGATAATTCAATATTTTATTGGTCAAAACAAGCACAACATAAATTACAAGAGTTTGGCTAAATATGGCACTAAAGTAATACATGTACATAACAACTAAACATCATTATGGAATTACTCAAAATACGAAATCACCATATATTTCAAACAGATTTTCAGTACATTTTTAGTAATAATGATATTAGTATACAGGTGATATCAGTTTTTATCCTTTTTTTTTCATTTTATTCCCGACAAGTGATTGACCAGAAGTGCATCACGTGTCCACCGCTAAAAACCGTTATTATTTTTACATATTATTCCCGACAACTGATTGGCCAGGAATGCATCAGGTGTCCACCGATAAAAACCAATATTGACTTGGAGCCCGTGATTTTTGTTGAAGGACTGGGTATTTCTAAAAATAGAATTATGACGCGACTCCAAAGAAACGCATCGTCCCGCTTCCGTAGTTTTTTGTGGTGATTTTTTTTCCAGATTGCTAACATTATAAAATAATAAAACAATTGTAGCCTTTGACTTCGGTCGATACCTGGATTTATCGACCCGAGCAAAGATATATAGACCTCGGACTGCGTCCTCTGTTAATATATCTTTTCTCGGGTCGATAAATCCAGGTATCGACCTCAGCCAAAGGCTATAATTAAAGAATATTGACTTGGAGCGTGTGATTTTTGTTGAAGGACTGAGTGTTTCTAAAAATAGAATTATGACGTGTCTCCAATCGAACGCACTGCGTCCTCGGTTAATATATCTTTTCTCAAGTCGGTAAATCCAGGTGTCGACCACAACCAAAGGCTATAATTGAATAGTATCTAATGTAGGTTTCCTTTACCATAAAAAAAATGAAGTTATGGCTTAGAGTCAGTAACAACTCAAAGAAAAATATGCAATATCCTTATGGTATGAAAAAAAATAGAAAGATTACACATTTGTAAGGAAATTTGAGCCAAAATATTCGATAACAATTTGACTAAAGATATATATATACTTAAGGAATAGTAAAAAAAAATCTGAAATATCAAAACATGAATGTGTATAACTCAATTAGTCTACCTACTGATTAAATGCATAATTTGCCTAGAGATCTATTCACTTTATTCACAAACAAGAGGCCCAGGGGCCTTGATAGCTCATCTGGAATTTTATTTTGAATTTTTCAAGCTGTTGGAAAAAATACATGTTTATCAAAAAGAGTACAAGAAAGTCTTTAAGCTGTTCAATCAGACTATGCATGTTTGAAGTCTTTTTGGCAGATCTTATTTTACTACACCTTTTTTTATCTTTGTGAATCTTTGTTGGAAGACTTGAACATTTTTTTTATCTGAACTAAGCTGGTTGTTATAACCATTTAGTCACTTCTAACACATCAAATTGATTTAAACCTTAAACCTACATCACAAAATGTCATGAACTTCAGCCAGCCCCTTTTATTATTCAGAAGTCAATTAAATGTTTTAACAAATTTAAACATAATAGTATATGACCCTGAAATTAACAATTTAACATATACTCTAAAATTGAGTCAATGTCATTCAAGAGCATTCGAATATATTTTAGAACCCTTTATCCCAGCATGTTATTGGCTAACTATCATCACCAAAGATTTCCCCGATATTCAGAAATAGTCATTTATGTTAACGGATTTTACACATTTTACCTGTGACCTTGAAGGCTAGTCAATGGCATTCAATTTCACATCCCCTCATTCAGTTCTAGCATGTTAACTGCTTAAAAACACCACCCTAGGCCTCCTGTTTATTGCAACTTGAATATAAGTCAAGGTCATTCATCTCAACATTTTACCACCAAAATATCAACATCCTGGGCCTTTTGGTTATTCAGAAGAAGTTGTTTAAAGTATAACGTTGACGCCAGACAGATGGATGACAGAGGTTAGATGAAAATCTAGTGAATTTCATCTGGAAAGGGTTTTCTGAGGGTATATACTGCGCTTTAAACTATCCAGTTACCAGGTATATAATTTTAAATACTGCTCGTTGATACAGATATTCCTATCCAAACTCACTAAGCCACTAAAACGACAAATTATAATCAATATTATTCTGGTGTTCAGCAAGGTAACATGTACATGTTAGTTATATAACATTGAACATATTTTGCTGAGTAACTATCACAGCTTAGTGTCCATAGAAGAGTTTTCTATTTGCAGGAATTTAGGAGATGTAGTTCAATTTTGACTAGTTTGACACACTCTGGGATGAGATTCCATGGATCCTTATTTGTGCTGTAAATGTCCTCTGACAACTGACTGTCTTAGAGAGATTATGACTGCTTCCTCTTTGATTTCCTTCACGTCTGGTGAATCTGTTGCTGTAATGTGGCCCCAATTATGATGGCAGACTGGTAACAATTTAAGTTGAGATAGGAACTGAAAATACAAAAATAATATTGTGTAAAAATGGCATGGTTGAGGATAAGTTTGCATGATACAGGCATTCATATTGACCGTGAAATTCATAAAAATCATATCAAATATAGAAGCAAGTTTAACTTTTCTTGACAATTTCAATTAAATCTTTATCTCAAATATAAAAAGATCATTTTGATCTTGCCATTGACTCATGACTTCATCTCATCACTAATTGAAACATTAATATTATCCGAAAGTGATGCTTATAGTTTTTTCCATTAATTCCTTTAAATAATAATGTAAAAAATAAGACTAATCAAAATTAAGAGGGTTATTCTATGTAAGATTAAATTTGAACATGGAAGGGTCAATTTCATTTTTGAGGGGTCAAGATGGCCCCCTTCAGGATTATCCTGTGTGCTAAATGTTTTGCATGCAATTGTATCTTATCAATATTTATAATATAAAATTTATGGTTATACACCAAAATTTACATGTATGATGTACATGTAATGACATGTTTTGGTAAACATTTATGATCCAAGTCTGACAGGGAATTGTAATATCTGATTTACAGCATCACCATGATCCTTCTAGTATATACTGAAGGCTGTATGTTCCCCTCTTACACTTACACTAAGTGTAGAAATATATATTTATTCAAAAGTACTCTGTTCCTTTGATCTTCATTTTCAAACAATTGAGAATTATATAAAAGCTTGAGACAATTAATTCTGGTATGACAAAGGTCAAATACGTCGTAGTACTGGAAGTGTGAATAGTGCATTGATTATGATAAAGCTTTTAAACCTAAGCAACTATTGAACAGAGACAGTACAGTTCTCAAATTCTCAAAGTGTAACACGTGTACAAACTTACTCGAGACTTTACACAAACTAAATCAACGACATGTTAATTTGATAAACGTGTGAAAAGGGTATTGTATAAATGGAAAATTTACAATGCGAATTTTGTGAACACTTCGGGGAGCTTACGAGTAGTCAGGCGGTAATTAGCCACACTTCATTTCTTTTGCGACTTTGTCATCCAGCCTTTGGAACAGCAGGCTTTAATTGTTGACCATTTCTTGCTCCGAAAACAACTTCGTAATCCGAAATCCAGTTAAATTCGCCCAATATAATCTGTTCTCTTCCTTTTTTCCATTTTGTTTTTATGTTTACGGACAACAACGTGGTTTCCCGCATTGAAGAGTTCCTATAAATACCGTAAATACGCAATTCAGCGCGCGCATGTGCTTGATAATGAATAATCTTTCTAATAGCGTAGGCCTTTGTCACTGTATCTGATAATTGAAGTTCGTAATTCTGGAGATAAGCGTGAGATCTTCTGCAGTTCTACCATTGGCCTAAGTGAATTGATAAACTGCGTGCGCATCCTAACCCAAAAAGACGGAGTAGACGATAGACCCAATGAAATAATTGGACGATAGGGACGGTCGAAATGACCGAACGGAACGATTTAGCTGATACGAACGAAACAGACGAAACATACGAACGGTGCTCGAACGGTGAACGATCGCTTTCTAGACGCTTGACTACCGCTAACCGCACGCAAGCCGCACGCAGAACGAACTGAACCTAGGTGGATACTTGGGCGTAATTCTAACTGTACCACATTATCATGCTGGAAATTCCAACAGTCTGTGTATCTAAATGATAAAAGGAATAGTGGTAGGTCCTTGAAACTAGGTGGTGATGCCAGATGCAGTTCCCCGGGACACACTGCAAAATATGGAAGCTACACACTTATGGATGTGGAAACTGCCAAAGTGGTTGATATTCAGCTTGTTCAGGTAATTGAATACTGACCTATTGATGTAGTCAAGACAAAATGGTGATAAACAATATTTTGGTGCTTTGTCACTTACATTGACAATATATATAGTAGTCTTAATGTGATTGAACTGTGCTAATTTGTTATACAGACTGTATATATGTACATGTAGTATAATAATTTCGCTCTTTAAATTTATTTAAAATGCTTTTCATCACATACAAAACATTTGCAAAGCTGCCTTAAACTTGCATAATAATTCAATTATTGTACATTATAATCTAATTATGTTAAAAAGAAATATTCTGCTTTTTTCCATATTTTATCCCCATGTTAATTAAACTATTTCATTCAAATGAAGTGAAAAATTCCAATGCTATGGAACGTGAAGGACTGAAGCGCTGCTTCCAATTCTTGAAGGATGAGGGCATCCCTGTTTCAGATTTGGTGACCGACAGACGTTGTCAAGTGAAGAAATTGATGAAATGTGAACATCCAGATGTAAACCATTAGTTTGATGTTTGGCATGTTGCAAAGGGTAAGCTATCTTAACCCTTTCACCACTGTAGACCATAATGGAATCATCCATATAAATGCATGGTAGAGTCTACTAAAGTTACAAAGGGGTGAGAGGGTTAAGTATAATCATGCATTAATAGCTCAGATATCAGTATTTTGTCTCTAGGTCTGCTAAAATATTTATAGTTATACATAACAAAATTACTTTCCATCAAATGTTCATGTTATACTATACATTTTTACCCTTGGATTATAGCAGTCAGCTACTACATCAATATTTCTATGAATGTATGCCTGTAATGATACATGACTATTACAATTTCATGAATTTAATTTACAGGAATGCATTGTCAATTGTTAGGGGAAAATACTTAAAAATATGAAATTGATACATTAGTTTACATCACAGCTCTGTAATATCTACCAATCATATATACTCAGGGGTTTTAAACTTTTATAGGTGTGTACAAGAAGCTAGACGCTCTGGGGAAGTCCAAAAAATATGCAGTAGCTGGAGAATGGGCCAAATCCATGTGCTGCCAGCAGTGGAGGCAATGAGGAGCTTGTACGGCAGAAATGGACAAGTATCATTAACCATGTAGCAAACATTCATGATCTTTTCCACTCCTGTGAACATGGGAGCATCTCAAGAAAATGGATCAAACCAGGTTATTATAAGATATGACAGTCTGAATTTAGAGATAAATTAGAATTTCAAGCTGGGGATCAAGAGTTCAATAAATTATTTATAAAAAGTTTATTATACTTTTCAACATGACATTCTTCTTTTCTAATTGCAGTAGTGCAGAATTCATTTTGAAATTACCATGATACTGTTGATATACAACAATGTAACAAATAAGCATACATTTTTTTCTCTGTTAACCTTTTAACTGCCTGTTAATTTATTTAATAGAATCTTTCAAATCCAGGCACATGCACTGGCCTTGGTTTGAAAGGGAAACTATTTTATGCACATACTGATTTTAAAAGCTGTGCAGGAAGATACTACACTTGCATGTTATAGTGAAATCATTTACTTCATGATGTTTTTAATCATTACACATACAGTATTTCTGGTTTATTTATCACAGAATTGATTTCTAACCTTTCGTTTTAGGAAGCAAAGTATTCCAGGAAATGCAAGAATTGTATGTCGGAAACTCCTAGTGAAGAATATTGGAAAGTTATCTCCAGCACAACAAACATCTTGTTTAGAATCCTTACTCAATGTGGTGAATTATTTTGCGCCAAAAGCTAGCCATTTATTTTACAATCAGATGAAAGCAAGGCAAGTATCAGAGATATACAGATTCTGCAGTTAGATAAAATAAATCATCTGTCAGAAATGCATTTGATCACCTTCACATTTGTTCAGACATTTTCACATTGAGCACAATTAGGTACCTTATTAGTCCCCCACGGGGAACGGGGGGGGGGGGGGGGTCTATATAGTTTTGCGTCGTGTCCGCCCGTCCTTCCGCTATCTTGTCCGGGCTCTATCTCCTACACTACTTGTCACTGTCATACTTTGGGTTTGGGTACACCTTGGTGAGGCAGTGTATCAAAAGTGGGTCACTCTGACCTACATTTTGACCTTTGACATACATCAAAGAAAACGTTTGTCTGGGCTCTATCTCTTACACTACTAGTTGCTGGAGCTTCTATTCACATTTATATCACCAAATGTAATCAAATAATGAAACGCTGTAGAATACATAGTGTCACCAGATGCAATTTAATAGTAAAACGGTACCATTAAACATCCATCAGATTTATTTGCAATAGTAGCACTTACAGTACTATTCCTTATTGAATACGGTGGGTCTGTCAAACAATCTGTGCGTTTCACATTCGATGGGGGCCTATAATTCGCCGAATTGTCTTGTTCAATATATTTTAAAATAAATTTTACACTGACAATGAACTATACTATTTCAGACTCTGCTTGGCAGCCCTGCATTTTAATGCAAATACTTCTCGACCACAAGCAACTCTGGAAGACGGGACAGCCAGATACAGAATTGCTTTCCCAAAAGGAAGAAAAGGGGATGCTGTTCCAAAAGAGATCAAAGTAAAACAGAATTTTCGGTATGTTTTTTTTTTCATTTTTGATTTGCATTGAAATATAAAATTAATGCGTAAATTTAATAAAAACATATTGGTGTCCACTGATAGTGTATCTGATGTAGCATCTACCAATCTTTTACTGTTTTATTTTGGGGAAAAAATTGAACAATGCTGTTGATAAAAACTGTTTACATTGGTGTTCTTGGACTTATCCTCTTGCTAAAGTACAGATTTGAAAAATGTAGCAGCAATAAAAAAAAAAAAAAATGTTTTGATGTAACAGCACATTACGTCTGTATCCTATCAAACTAATATAAATGTTTTCATTGTTCTTACAGATTACATCACAGAGTTAATGGTGACGGTAGTAATCCGACGGCTCCAGTTTACAACAATTAAACAAGCTGAAGCAGCTCTTGCTCAGGAAATGGATGCTCCCCCTCCCTTTATTGCCAGTCAACTCTGTGGTGCCATGGGGAATTTTGACAGGAATGTGATCATTCAGAACCACTGTCAGAGGTTTACCAGTTATGTCAGAAACGAGGGTACTTAAATCCAGTGTATTGTTCTGATGGAAATTGTTTCCGTATTGCAGGCACAGCACATGCTTGTATGACCCGTCGATTTTTCTTTCCAAGAACTTTCCATGTCCACCTGATAAAGCGGCGGTATGCAACAAAACTATACATCCTGAAATGATAAAAAATTCTTCAAGGTCAAGATTTGTAATGCATGTATTCTCAAATCAGTGCAATTTCAGTGCAGTTAGATATATGTAATAACACTATTCAGTAGTATAAAACATGAATTATGTGTTCTGTATAGAGTGGGTTAATCAATTGAGGATGTCACTGTGGCATCATCATTTTAATGTCTTATGTATAAAAAGATTGTGCTGAAGAAAGTTGTTCATTTTATATAAATGTTCTGAATATTGTTTTTTATATTACCAGTACCTGTGAATGTCCTCTTGTGCTCCTGGGTCATGTGTATCGGCATATTCATAATATGATGTTTCCGGTACATGCAAGTTTAGACAATTTGCAATAAACCCTTCATGTTGGGTGATACAGTCTATGTTAGCCAGCTTTTCTTCAAATATGCTCATACCATCACAGCATTTTCTTTCCTCTTCAGTAGGCATATGAGAACACATGCCACAAGAACACATGGAAAGAAAAAAAATAGATAAATTTAATTTACATATTATTCACTGATTGATGGGCACTAGACATAAAAAAAGTACTTGAAAAATTCTATCAAATAAGTGATACAGTAGTTTTTGTGCATGTACATGGGATAAAAGATGATATGAATGCATCAATTGCCTTTAATTCGACTAATTATAAGTTTCAAGGGAAATTTCAATTTTGATAGTAGATATTTCAATAAGTAAAAATATATCATTTTTCATGAATTACAAAATATTAGAGAGAGAGAGAGAAAAAACCCAGAAATGTGATGCGAGTGAAAGATGAAATGTTTGCATGAATGTTTTATATACACTGTACATAGATGAATGGTTGTGATGACTGTAGCTGAGTGTGATTCAAAGCATGTAGTAAAGGTGGAAGGGGGGAAAGGAAAGGATTTGTTCCATATTTGGTCTGAAGCATCCTTGGTTGAAGAGGCAGGGCCCAATAGGGGAAATAGAGGTACATTTTTTATGTAAATCTACATCGCTACTAGTCATGAATGACTAAAGGGATTTTGATCAAATTTGGCCTGGAACATTATTGGGTGTAGTAGAACCAATGTGTAAATGGAGGGT